TTTTCTCAATTGGCCTTGTCTGGACTACTTAATTAAATTATTTACAGATTTATAGAGAGAAGATAAACAATCCTGTTCCTTTTGTCTTGGCATTATAACAAAATATTGGTTTGATCTGCACTACTTACAAGAAAAAGGGTAGCAACTGGAATTCGAGAGCAGGCAGTATGTGCAGAAGAGAAGTGCTGAGGGTATAATGGCAGGCAGTATGTGCAGAAGCAGAGTGTTGATGTTATGATGGCAGGTAGTATGTGCAGGCAGGGCCGGATTAAGAGCATCAGGGGCCTGGTGCTGAGGATTATCGTGGGACTTTTTATGGAAATGGTGACGGTCACTGGGGCCCTCTTCCTCCTGTCCGGGCTGTGATTTGTAGTCTCTCTACAGCTTGGAGTCATTTGTGGAGCGCCAGGGCCTGGTTGCAGCTATGACCCTGGTAGATCTGCCACTGACTCCAAGCTGTAGAGGGACTACAAATCTTAGCAATACATTATACGGCAATGCAGAATGGCACTGGCTTTGGAGGAATACAAATCCCATTAATACATTACACAGAAATACAGAATACCACCAACTATAGAGGACTACAAATCCCAGCAATAAATTATACAGCAATGCAGAATAATACCACTAACTTTAGAGGACTACATATCCCAGTAGTGCATTATAGATCAATGCAGAATAACACCAACTATAGAGGACTACAAATCCCATCAATACATTGTAAAGCACTGCAGACTAACACCATCAGCTATAGAGGACTACGAATCCCAGCAATACATTGTAAAGCACTGCAGAATAATACCATCAGCTATAGAGGACTACAAATCCCAGCAATACTTTATACAGCAATGCAGAATAATATGAAGCTACATACTCTGTGTTGCTTCGTGTTAGCAGCCTGATGTCTTCAGGGTCTCAGGAGAGCTGTACGGGGTTTAGGGGGGCTGTGCAGGCTCTCAGAAGGCTGTTCAGGCTCTAAGGCGATCAGTGCATGCTCTCAGATGGTCAGTGCAGGCTCTCAGGTGGTCAGTGTGGACTCCAGGTGGTTATTGTGGGCTTCAGGCAGTCAGTGTGGGCTCCAGGTGGTCAGTGTGGGCTCCAGGCGGTCAGTGTGGGCTCCAGGCGGTCAGTGCAGGCTCCAGGTGGTCAAAGCGGGCTCCAGGTGGTCAGTGCAGGCTCCAGGCAATCAGTTAAACTGGCAACTGAGGCCACAGCAGATGCAGCTCTCTGCTCAGGCATATCAGAGGGCCCTCTGATATGCCTGAATAGAGGGCCACAGCTATACAAAAACACAGAAAATCCCCAGCCTCAACCTGCCAGCTAGCCTGCAACCAAACAAATAGCCCTGACAACAGTATGCGTTAAAATCAGAGGTTTTAGTTGCACAAACTTTTGGCCAAACATATGTAGAAGCCACACCGCCGCGCCAAGGCACCTCTGCAAGGTGTGGTCCTAACTCTATGTATATGAGTCTCCAAGTGTGAGCATATTAATGCAGTCGATAAATTGCATGCTAGTTATAGATTCATGAAGGTACCATGTTTTTTCTAGAGGGCCACAGCTGCCTGGTCGCGGCCGTCCTGAAATGCCATCGAGTCAGGTCAGGTCGACCCGGCCACGATTTGATTTGCAGGGGCGAGTCAGGAGAGGAATGTGTAGTGTAGGATAGTGGGCATACTGTGTCCCCAGTGATGAGCAGGCCCAGAAGCATGTGCCAGTGCTTTAATTCACTCCAATTAAATCACATAAATATACTTTCACTTATGTAAGTACTATCCAAACTGACCCCACAGATGCTCACATTTTGGTCACCTCAGAATTCCTTTGCCTCCCCCACCGTTCCTCTCTTTCTTCTGTTTGTTTTTTTTTTTGTATTCTGCATTGGAGATCTCCTTATCAACAAAAACCTTTTAGAGGAGGAGGTGAAAAGTCACATAGCTCTCCTTCCCCTTTACATAAACTGTTTTTTCTGCTGGTAATTTAGTCTTTCAGATCTGTTTAGTTTGAAAAAGTGCCCCTGCAGTGCTGTTAGTCGGGATGCACAGTGAGGAGATGTAAACAGGAGTAGAGAGAGCAGCATGGAGGTTAACAGTCAGATCTCTTACCAGTGGATGGCCAAGGCGGCCACTGAGCAGCAAGAGTGTGTTCTTGAGCAGGAGTTACATCATCAGTGGCCATCAAATGGCCGAAGAGGACTTCCAAGAACCTGGAAGTGCCAGTGGCAGACATGACGGCGGGGGACAGCACTGAGGATCAAAAATGTATCCAACAGCACTAGACAAGGACACACTTTTAAGGTAAGTGTGCCCTAATGTGCACATAAGGGCAAAAACAAAAAATATTTAAAGGAGAACTATGAGGTGAGTGCTTTTCACTCACCTCATAGTTCTAAGCCGACCTGTGACAATGAGACTGTCACAGGTCGGCTCAGTAGATCGGGAGGTGAGGGAACACATACCGGGTGACAGGGGAGGGGAATCCAGCCCCTCCCCCTGTCACGGCAGAGAGCCGTGACAGGGGGAGGGGCTGGATTCCCCCCTCCCCGCTCCAATCCTCCAGCGCTGACTGAATTTACTTCCACTTTAAAGGTCCCATTCTGTGTTTTCTGGTGTGTTATAACATAATAACCCTCTGCACACTGGTTTACACCTTTACATATTACACATATTATACCATGACATGTTTAAGCTGGCCAGCTGTGTCAAAGTGATCCCTCTTTGGTCTGTCCTTACTTTTCTGTGCAAAATGCCAAATACTTACTTGCTCATAGTATACTTTAATGAGCATATATGGGTTGAATCACTAAAGGCAAATAGGCTGCTCACTTTTTTCACTTAGCCTAGTGAATTAGGTGAAGATTAGTGATGGGCCGAACACCTCTCTGTTCTGTTTGAATTCGAACTTTAGAACATGTGAAAAGTTTGAATTCGTACTCAAACCCAATGCAAGTCTATGGCTAGAAATTTGAAAATCAATTGACCCCATTTTGAAGGCTTATATGCAATTTGATGGCCATAGAGAGGGTATGGGGATTCGGGTACTGCCCTGGGGACATGAATCAATGAACATTTTTTTTTAAATACCATTTTTAAAGGAGCAGTGATTTTAACATCAATTAAATTGAAACAATAAAAATTAAAGATTCCTTTAAATATCGTGCCCGGGGGGTGGGGCCGATCTTGACCTTCACTAGAAAATTTGAGATTTGCATGCAGTATACTCAGGTCTCTGATTCCATTTGATTGTGTGTTTTTAACTGAGTGTAACTCCTGCTTATTCATGCTTATGAATTTTTCAAGATATGTTCAATGTGAGTCACATAAGCTTATAGCAGGATAACCTAAATGTTATTACCAGATCGACCCAAAATCATCTTATGTCTGTAGTACATTTTCAATATCCCCTTTATGCGGTGAGCTCTTTACACAGCAGTGTCCCCCTCCAATCTCTCATCCCTTTTGTGCTGCACTTTTTTGAATGGTACATTTATCAATTTGGTATTTTCTATATCATTTATGCATGTAATTATTTTGTTACAATAGTGTATTTTTATGAGTTAGTACAAAAATTAGCAATACATTATCTATGTTATGGAGTGTATCAATTTAAATCTTTGAATTTAAATGTTTAGATTTAAAATTTAAATCTTTACATTTTTAGAATTATTTATTGAATTGTTGCACTTTGTACTGTATAAACATATGAGGCTGTATACTGCTTATAAGATACAGTGTACATGACGATTTAGGTCTTACCTTGACTTCCCTAACAAGTATTATTGCTGCATGTATATTTACTATTATAACCATGTTTAAATGGTATAGTAACCAAAAATGATCAGGTTTTGCAGCACTCTTCTTCTTTATTTGTTCATCAAAAAATAATCATGATCATTACATGATACAAGAGGGCAGATATACAGTATATAGTGTATATATGGTTTTATTTTGTCAGGATGGATAGAACTTTTATATTTTACCTTAAAGCTGGCCATACACTTTACAACCATCACACAAATTTCGTCTTGCGATGGCTGTAAGGTAATTAAAAGCTTGTATGATCTGCCCATCTTGGACAGGCATATCGTACTTGCGATCATCGCAAGCCCGCCCCGTTGAGGGGAGGGCTTCCGATGACTGCAATGCTGAGCAGGCAGTGTGCGCTTGCGCACCCCGGCCCGTGCGGCATTTGTCTTACGAGCACGCCACAAATCCGCCGAAAATCTTCAGATTTTCGGCTGGTTTTCCAACGTGCTCGTAAGACAAATGGTCGCACGTCTTCCATACACCTGCCGATTATCGTACGATTGCAAGATTTCCCGCTATTATCGTGCGATAATCGGCAGGTGTCTGGCCACCTTTTAGACTTTTCCCTAGTTTTTAAAAAAATAAGAAACTCAAGTGGTTATGTTGCCCACAAAGAAACTCGAGTGGTTATGTTGCCCACAAAAAACAGTCACACTCTTCCTTTCATTTTACAAACAGCTATTGAAACATGCCAGCTAAATGCTTATTTTGTTTTGTTCTTGCCAACTAAGACTCTTTTAATTTTATAACCTTTGTGCCTGTGAATAAAATGAAGCATGTTAATTCCTCACTGGACTTATTAAAAGATAGCTCAGAATCCTTTATAAGCATAATAAAATCAATATTAATATTATTATTATTACAGTTTGCACATCACTTTACAATATAAAGGGAGAGAGACCAGTTACAATACAATTCAAAACAAGAGGGTTCGCCATCCCCAGAAGTTTATTTCCCAAAACCCACATAGGGACAATTCTGATTGTTCCCACACAGCAATGCCTTCCTCTTTATGAAAATATAGCTGGGCACTCCTGGAAAAGAATAAGGGTTTCTGTCAATATAATAGCTGGAGAGATGAAAAATGATGTCTTTATTTTCTTTATTTGTCTTATGCTCAGAGTTTGTCTAAGACATAAACATTGTCTTTTAGGCTTACGGTGGCTTCTTGGCTCTGAAACTGTTGTCCTCTTCTGAAGATCTGTTTGTATGTGGTGCAGTTATTGCTCCTATCACCTCTTTCCAGCTACACTGTGAGTATGACACCATAAAGAAGCACACAACTATGAAGAAAAGTTCCATGCATAGCTTTATACCATGGTAATTTGATTATTTTTATTGAGAATTTTCCTTTTTAATGGAAAAAAGAATTTCAATGGTAAACAACCACATTACTGAAATTGTATTGAGGAGTGGTTATTTGTTTTGGAAGACACATTTTTAATTGTTCCCTGTAGTGTAGTAAAAGATCAGAATGATCTTTTAGTCTCCATAAAATAAAAGGTATGTAACTGGTTCAAATTTTATGTTCATTTATTTTCCCCTCGTTTTAATCTGCCCATTGTGAAGTGCATTGACACTTGCCCCTCTAATTTGATATCCTGCTGTCTTGTTCTCAGCCTGCATGTCTCCTCTTCACTCCCTTCTTGATACTTAGGGGTTAATAAACTAAACGGAAATAGCTTGTTCACAAAGTACAAAGTAATTTTCACTTTGCACAGGACAATTTTCCTTTAACTTAGTGAATGAGGCAAAGCTCTGCTGACTTTAGGGATGCACTGATACCAATACTGGTATACCGATACCAATACAGAGTATTTGGGCGAGTACTCATACTCGCACAAATGCTCCAATACTTAAACCGATACAGGAACTTCCGGTCAGAGGGAGCATGGGGCTGGCTTTCTGGCCAATCAGGAAGCCGGGCTGCATATCATGACCCGACTTCCAGCCTCCTGATTGGCTAGGAAGCCGGCTTCCCTTGTTGCCAGGCAGCCTGGCTTTCTGACCAATCAGGAAGCCGGGCGGCAAGTCATGACCTGCCTCCTGGCTTACCGATTGGCTAGGAAGCCGGCTTCACTTGTTGCTAGGCAGCCTGGGTTCTTGACCAATCAGGAAGCCAGGTGGCACGTCATGACCCACCGTCCGGCTTCCTGATAAGCTGGACCCACGGTAACCCGGGATGCCGGTATCGGTATTCAGTATCAGCGAGTACCAGGAAAAAAAATTTTAGTACTCTTACTCAATACCAAAAAAACAGTATCTTGCATCCCAAGCTGACCTACTTCCAATCATGTGCAAGCTAAATGCTGTTTTTATTTATTTTCCTTGCATAGAATTGGGTATTCTTTGCAAAGGGAATTGTCACTTCATTCACTAAGCTTAGAGAAAATTAGCATTGCAAAGTGAACAGCCTTTAGTAAATCAACCCCTAAATGATTTTATTTTTTTTAAACATTGTTTATAAAGAAATGTTATCATTAAAAAAATAAAATGTGTACAAATATCATAGGCCAGATGGTTCTGTTTGTTGCCTTGGTCAAAACTTCCCACTCTCCCCCTAACTATATGAATTGGTCTGCATCCGTAGCTCAGGTAAAAATAAATATGTCCAAGGTTAGTCTCACAGCAGAATAACCTTTTTTTTGAGTAAAATCACAACCAATCCATTTTAAGTCCAGTGGAGTTTGTGTGAGTCACTTGTTTTCAGGAATTTCTACCATACATCTTAACCCTACTTAAGAAAACTATTTTCATTGTAATACAGCTGCAGTGCTTACTGAACGTTACCTGGGGTTGCCATCACAAGAAGGATCATCCTACATGGTATGTTTCCTGAGAACTGGAGTACTAATGTTGTGATTGGTATTTTCTCAGTGTTTCTCACTACGTGATTTTTTTCCCCAAGGTTACAAGCATATGAAAATTCTGCATGGGGTATACAACATCAGCAAAAATATATTTACCCACAAGATGGTTTTATATGGTAAACATTTTCCAAAGAACAATCTGTGCAGAAGGGTCATTAGGGGTAAAATAGACCCCTGATGCCACATCAAAGAGACCCTATAACTTGCATTATGCTATCACATGGCTTGTCAGTCCCCTTGTGATCGCCATAAAGTAAAATAAATTACAGAAATTAAGATTTCATAAAATAAACCCCAAAAAATATTTTTAAAGCCCCCCCTGCCCCGACATATATGATCATAAATGTGTGCACCTGCATATGAAAACAACAGTTGTGCCACACATTTTAAGTATTGCTGGAGTGACTTCATTCTAGGGCCATCATGTGCTGTTAACTCTAAATGTATGAGCTGTAGAGGTTTTTTGCAGTTTTATGGGCACACACATTTTTAAGCTTGATATGCTTAGCATTTATTTAACTCATGCAACCTCACTGAATTTTTCAATGAAAATATGGGTTTGATAAGCAGTAGTGCGAATATTGTGTGATATAAAAAATGTAAACTGCAATTGCAACCATCTTATTATACAGGGTGTCTGCATTCAGAAAATATATATAGGGTTATTTTTATTTACTTAGCTGCCGAAGGCAGCCTAGTGAACAACCGAGCCAAAGTGAGGTGAGCTGAACGACGTTTGGCTATTCACTCCGGCTCAGCCGTACATCGGCTGCCTTCGGTCAGCCGAGCATAGACTTCTGGATCAGCTGAGCTGAAGCTCCGGCAGCTCACTTGCTGCCATTCGCCCCTATTCAGGGGGATTCGGCATCCATATTGCTGTGTGACACTATTGTCATAAGTGCATACTGTATTAAATTTTTTATCAAAACCTTTATACATTTGTGTACAAATGTCAGTCAGTACAAGTCAGTATCAGACATCTCAACTCTCCCAGATGTTCCAGGCATCTCCCGTTATAATATATCGTCTCCCGGACGCCCGGGAGAGAAACATTTTATCCCGGAAAGGTTTACTCTGCTATATCTATCTAGAGTAAGGCCTCATTCAAACACAACGCAAGCAAAATTGTATATTGCGTATATACGCGTCTATGCGCGTATATACGAGCGTATATGCGCGTATATACGAGCGTATATGCGTGTACTATATGCAATCCCAGAATGCGTCACTCGTAATGGAATTTGAATGCGTTGTACGCACGTATATGCGCGTAAACACGCGTATCTGCGCGTAAATATGCAAAGATACGCTGCCCGGACGCATCTCTGTTCCATTCTGGTTTTGCGCATATATACGCTGCGCAAATATACGGCTCCATACGCGGCTGTGTGTATGGAGCCATTTATTTGCATATGTTGCATATGGTACAATACGTACGTACGCGCAAATATGCGCATATATGCGCGGCAGTGTGAATGAGTCCTAAACCTTTCTCTGCTGTTTGTTTGTTTTTGTTTTTAATATGGGGGCCGCCGACTGACGTCAGAGTAAAAATTAAAATAAAAAAAGGCAGCATGGAGAAATATAGCTAGATTGCTATTGGCTATTTTAATTTGCAATAGCAGGCTGGCTATTGCACTCGCCCTCTGCTGCTGGTTCTCCATCAAGTCCTCCTCTGCACGTGCAATAGCCTGCCTGCTATTGCAAATTGAAATAGCCAATAGCAATCTAGCTATTCATTCCCATACTGTCTGTTGTTTTTTGTATTATCACTCTGACGGCAGGAGCTGTGAAATACAAGAAAAACAGCAGATAGCAAGGGAAGCATTAGCTCCTCTGCTATCTGCCATCATTTCAGGGAGGTGCTCTCTCAAATGAGAGGGGCACCGCCCTGAAATTATTTCTTTTGGGTTGGGATGCTTGCAGTATATGGCTCATCCCTATCATTTGTATATGTGCTTCCATTTTTACATGTGTTGATCTCCCTAGGTGGCCTCTGTATTAAATGATGTCCAGAGGTTACAGAGTCAGCGGTTTCTACTTGTCCATGGGACTGCAGATGGTGAGAGACACATCCATGGAATGAGCAGGTGCATGTTGGATCATCTTATTTCCAGGTCATTATATTGGCAAAGCATGTATTACTAGAGAATGTGAATGTACAAGTGGGAAGTTCTTCACTGTCAAAGTTCCTAACATCAAATAATATTTGCCTTCAACTAACTTAGCAAACAGTCATTTATCATTGTACATTTTAATTAAGGGAAGATATTATTCCTGTGGTCTGCATGGTGTATGATATTGCAGGCTGAGATGACAGAAAGCTTTCTGCCCTAATGGCAAGCATCACATTGTTTGTGCATGTGCCTGTAAACTGACAGCACATGGAAGGAAGGTGAGATCATTTTGTGGCCAGATTTACAGTGCCTTGCAAAAGTATTCATCCCCTTGTTTTTTCCTGTTTAATTGCATTACAACCTGGGATTAAAATGGTTTTTTTAGTGTGCATAAGTATTCACCCTTTTGCTATAAAACCCCAAAATAAGATGTGGTCCAGCCAATTAACTTCAGAAATCCCTTAATTAATTGATAAAAATCTATCTATAGGCAATCACGGTGTCACATGATGTCACTATAAATACACCAGTTCTTAAAGGCTCCTGAGTATGAAACACCGCTAAGCAAGCAACAAGAAGTCCAAAGTGCTCTCCAAATAGGTCAGAGACAAAGTTGTGAAGTAAAGATATTGGTTGGGTTATTAAAAAACAAATCCCAAACTTTGAAGATCCCACATAGCACCATTAAATCCATTTTAACAAAATGGAAAGAATATGCCACCACTACTTAACCTGACAATGGAAGACTGACAGGCCAAAACTCACAGACTGGGAAAGAATAATGAGAGATGCAACAAAAATTCCAAAGATAGCACTGAAGTAGCTGCAAAGAGCCATGGCAGAGATAAGAGTATCTGTCCATATGACAATTTTAAGCCGCACACTGCACAGAGTGGGGCTTTATGGAAGTGAGGCCAGAAAAAAATAGGAATAGATGTTTGGAGTTCGCCAAACATGTGGCAGACTCCCTAAACACATGGAAGATAATTCTCTGGTCAGATGAGGCTAAAATTCTACTTGCTTGTCATAGTGGGAAATGCTTTGTGTGGTGCAAACCCAACACTTCCCATCGCTCTGAGAAAACCATCCCTACAGTTAAGAATGGTGGTGTCAGCATCATTCTGTGGGGATGCATTCCATCAGCGGGGACTGGAAAACTGGTCAGGATTGAAGGCAAAATGGATGGCACTAAATACAGGGCAATTCTTGCAAAAAACTATTTTCAGTCTGCCACAAACTTAAGACTGGGATGGAGGTTCCGCTTCCAGCAGGATACTGACCTAAACATACTGCCAAAGCGGCACTCGAGTGGTTTATAGGGAAACATTTAAATGTATTGGAATGGCCTAGTCAAAGCCCAGAACTCAATCACAAACTTAAAGTTTGTTGTACACCAATGCACACATGTAACTTGAAGGGGATGGAGCAGTTTTGACTTGAAAAATGGGCAAAAATCACAGTGACTAGACGTGCTAAGATAATATAGACATACCCCATAAGACTTGCAGCTCTAATTGCAACAAATGGCGGCTCTACAAAGTATTGACTTTAAAGTGTAAATACTTTTTTTTTTCTTAATTATTGTTTGTGCCAAAATAAAAATTGTTTTGCGTCTACAAAGTGATAGGCATGTTGCGTACATCACATAGTAGAAACCCTCAAAAATCAATTTTAATTCCAGGTTACAGTATGATAAAACAGGAAATATATCAAGGAGGGTAAATACTTTCACAAAGCACTGCAGGTAAAAATGTTCTACAATTATAACATTTACTTTCATAAAATAAATTAAGATCTATGCCATATGTTTACACCTTTTCATTTGTTAAACTCAATCTTTCCTAAGAGCTGTGTGCTGTAAACTTTAATAGCATCCTGAAATATTGCATTGCATATCTACTGCTCGGTGCAACTCTGTGTGATGTTTACATTCAAAAAGTTTTAGTTTGCAAAGTTTGAAGAGTTTATGTCAATCAAGAGGATGCTGTTGTCTCGCTCCTTTTTTTTTTTTTGTCAACTTTTACTCTAAAATTGAAATGAGGAAATTCATATAATCTCTTACTGTACTGATGATGATGATGATGATTGATGATGATGATAATGATGATGATGATGACGACGAAGTAAACGTGCCCACAATTCCACATGTCCTATTCTGTGCTTTACTGTTTGGTTTGTTCGCAGTACCTGGCATCTTCATCAAGATACTGACAGAGGTGGAGATGTTTCTCAGACTGCAACAAGTTTTATTACTTCCCTACATTATTCTGTTGGTGGAGGGGGACAAGATCTAGGTTTGATAATAAACACACAAGAATCAGATCTTGTCCTGGCTCAGACAAAATATTTCTGGGGGTTTAGGAATCCAGGACTACAGACATCCAATCAGGGGCGTAACGAGAAATCCTAGGGCTCCATAGCAAAATGTTGTAAGGGCCCCCCACACACACACGCACACACACAACGAAACCCCCCGTCCCCATTTTAATAGAAATGCGCTGATCAGCACGTTTTTGAGCGTTTTCAATTGCGTTTCAGTGCTGAAACGTGACTAAAAACAGCCAAAAATGCTCTTTCAAAAATTGTGCGGAAACCACTGTGAAACGCTTAAGCCCTGGTGTGAATGGGGCCTTTACTTTACTTTAATACTGCCACACCAATGAGAGGCTGAGGAAAAGGGGGATTATAAAAGAAATGAAGGAACGCTAAACTGTAAATAAGCGATTTATGTTATAAATCGCTTAAAAATGATACAGGCGTATATTTAATTACAACACAAGGTATCACAACGCACAGCAATGCATCACAAAGCTTTGCCACAGTTAAATTAATGTTTTTTTACAAAAGAAAAAAATCATGCACTGCGATGCGTTCTAACAACGCACTGCAGCTCATGTGCCTGGCGTACACCACAATATGGTGCACGTGTATGTTATGTGTGTGTAGAGGAGAGGGGGGGTTGTGCTTTTTTTATTATTTACACATTTTAAATTTATTTTTTAATTATTATTTATTATTTTACTGTTGGGGGGGCGTTGGGGAAATATTAGGGGTCTAAACAGACCCCTGACATTTCCCTTTTGAAATAGAAAAAGACATTGAGGACACAGTGTCCTCAATGTCTTTTTCTGCAGCCTCAGCACAGTGAATGGGAAGCACTCAGTACAGAGGCTTCCCATTCATTCACAAACTGCTGATAGTGACATATTTATTATCAAGCAGATTATCAATGGGGAGGAGCCTCTGTACTGAGTGCTTCTCCCCATTCAGAAATTCATGAGTGAACAAGAGGTGATGTAAATCACGATGATCGAGCGGCAGGCGGGGAGGAGAGCTCCTCCGCTGTCCTCCTGTCAGTTTCAGGACAGCAGCGGCTCCTCCGCCGTCCATTTTTTTTCCGGATCCCCGCTGCCTCAGCCCATACAAGCGGGGGAGAGCAGCGGGGATCCGTGCCACCCCCCAGTGCCATGGGCCCCATAGCGACCGCATCGGTCGCTATGGTGGTAGTTCTGCCACTGCATCCAATCTTCTTCAGCAAAAGTTTGTCTCTAGATTAGAGGGTAAATACATTTCTATGGCAGCAATAAATATGGACCTAGTTCCATTCCAGGATGCTGCAGATGTTGAACCTACTGGTCTGAAATAGATGTGTCCTTCAGGTACTGGACTGGTGGAAGTCAGCTCAGAATCTGACATTCGTGTCCTTAGAAGGAGCAATCATCCAGTATTGGCTGCCATGCAGGCATTGTGGAAATTGCATTACCAGTAGCAGTTATTCTGCATTACCTTGGATGATTTAAATAATCATGTGGTGGGCATAAGGATCACTAACCCATCATTTAAAGTCTAGCACAGTAGCTGTACTCTTGAAGAATGCATAAATGTTCACAGCGTTTTACTTACATTTTTAACATAATGATACAAAGAGAAAAATGCTGAAACAAGTAGATTTGTGACAGAGACAGAGAGAATCTGGGACAACTGTCTGCCTGCATAAACATCCTTTCATGGTTAAATTAAAGCCAAAGTAAACTTTTCTTTTTTCCCGTAAAACCTATAATTATAGTTGGAAAATAGAACAGGCCACATCATCAGTGAAAATGCTATGCCAATGACTCATTGAGAACGCCTAAACATTTACTGGCCAATTTGTTTTATACTGTATTCTTTTTTTTATTATTATTATTATTTTGAAATCAGCATCTGGGGGTACTACAGTGCACATTAAGCATATTGATCACAATATAATATAGTTAAACATGATATAACATTTGTATAAAGGAGAATCTCAGTGTTAGAGATTAGTCGTATACTGTAAATAAACTTGTTCGAACAATAATGTCCTCTGCACTGCAGCAATATTGCATCAGGAGATAAATGTTCAGCTTGATAGGGGGGGCGTTGGGGAAATATTAGGGGTCTAAACAGACCCCTGACATTTCCCTTTTGAAATAGAAAAAGACATTGAGGACACAGTGTCCTCAATGTCTTTTTCTGCAGCCTCAGCACAGTGAATGGGAAGCACTCAGTACAGAGGCTTCCCATTCATTCACAAACTGCTGATAGTGACATATTTATTATCAAGCAGATTATCAATGGGGAGGAGCCTCTGTACTGAGTGCTTCTCCCCATTCAGAAATTCATGAGTGAACAAGAGGTGATGTAAATCACGATGATCGAGCGGCAGGCGGGGAGGAGAGCTCCTCCGCTGTCCTCCTGTCAGTTTCAGGACAGCAGCGGCTCCTCCGCCGTCCATTTTTTTTCCGGATCCCCGCTGCCTCAGCCCATACAAGCGGGGGAGAGCAGCGGGGATCCGTGCCACCCCCCAGTGCCATGGGCCCCATAGCGACCGCATCGGTCGCTATGGTGGTAGTTCTGCCACTGCATCC